TTATTTTATACATATATATATATATATAATTTTTTTTAATTTTCAGAGAGTGAGGAGATCAAAATGAAGAAAATTAAAAGGAAAAAGAAAAGAACAGCAAAGGAGATTTAATGTAAACAGCATGAAGGCAGGCTAGAGATGAAGTGTGTGAGACTCAAAATAACCACATAGAACCCCTCAATTTTTTTTTTAAATTATAAAAATAAATTATAAACAACAACAACAAAACCAAAACCCAACACTCAAAATATAAGAATGAAAAAGATTTTTGAAAGACACCATTCAAAAGTCGTCTTGATGGAGAAAGACAGGAAAAAAAAACATAACATCTGTTAAGTTAAATTTAAAGCACAGTATTTTGAGAAGCAACTTGCTACAGATGTAAAATGTAATAATTCTTTTTTGTTAACATAACGACACTAGAAGCAGGAAGGCCTCCTGGAGAGATGATTGGGTAGACAGGCAATCAAGGTATACAAGTGCTGAATACTAAATTAATTGTTTTCACTGATGTTCATAACAAAGAAGGTTGGAGAGATTCTCACAATCTGAGGAATTTTCTCAATGTCTATTATCATCTGAAGGTGTTTTAGAGGATGTAAATAATATCAAACAATAAGAACTGCCATGAGGTTCTGAGCACCCAAGAAGCGTTTCAGAGGAACTCAAATATGACATTTCTGAACTAACTACTGTAACATATAATCTGTCACTTATGTCAACTTTGATGCCAGAAGAAATGTAATGGTGGCACAATCTTTAAAAAGGACTCAAGAGTTGATCCCTGTAATAATGAAATATGAAGGAGGCACGTTTTTTTGCCATTGTGAAAGATCCATGTTGTTCTCGTGTCTAAAATATCACACATAGTTTCAGGCACACCAAATATGAAAATGACATCGTAGAACAAGAAGAGAGCTAGAAAGCACAGATTCCCAGATATGTGCCATGGTTTTATTTATTATAAGGTCAGATTAGGATTTGTCATTTTGAAAATAGGGTGGAGGAGTGGACATGTCAAGCCTCTATAGTCATAAATGGTATAACAGATGAAAATAGGGATGTGTTATTGTCTGTTCCTTTCTATCTTAAGGAGGCACAGGCTTAACCATATAAAAACCATTTAGGAAGCAAAAGGAAATACTTTTCACTCATTGTGTCTTTACAACATGAAATGTATTGCCCTTAGATGTTACTGAGATCAAGCTTATGATATCTGGGTCTTTCTGCTCAGCAGCCAGCAACCACTGTGGGTATGATGGAGGGTCCAGACCAGAAATCCAGTTTACTGCTGGCAACGGGGAAGGCAAAGAAGGAATCCTTCATACTTTTCCTGTTTGCCATAAATACCTGCTGCTGATCACTGCTGAAGTCAGGATTTAAGGTTAAGTGGAGCATTTGTCAGCTCAAACAAGGTTATGTTTTCATGATGCTACCTTAATAATAATAAAGAGAAAACACTGCCTATTATTTGCAAAATGTTTTGATTTTTGATGGAACCGTGTATCTGATGGAATTCAATAATGTTGAAAGTTGTTTTAACAAACTTCAAGGATCTTTTTGGTGGGTGTTAATTCCACTGTTCTGTCTGGTGTGTTCTCAAGTGACTGGAAATGATGTAGCTGACATAGCAAACTACATTTAGAACGATCCCTCTTTTCATGTTCACATGTATCTTGCCACTAGTTTAGATGATTTCTGGGGTAGCAACTGGATTTTATATCTATATATGTGCATACACGTGTGTATATATATGTATATGTATAAAATATATAAAGAAAACCAACCTGGTAAATCTCACTATTTTTTTTTCTGAACATAGCTTTAAAGTATTAATTCTGTGAGCCACACTCACTTTTTATAACATGCAAAAGAGTGAATACTCTTACAAAATGTTTTCCCCCTGCTTTTTGGAAGTTAATTTTTTTCTACTCAGTAAGAATTTTATCATAATTTCATGCCCCACCACTTCATGGTTTGTTACTTGGTCTATTACTCTCACATTTAACTTGATAAGGTCCTGCTTCCTATGATATTCATTTTTTTTGAGTTTTGATTCTTCACAGCTGCTGCTTTGAAGTCTTAGATAACATTCTGAGCATTGCACATTGCTCCTGGTTTTAAACTTTTCATTCAACTGCAGTACATAGCTCTTTCTCCCAAATAACTTCTCAGTAAATTGTTATAGTCTAATATTCTAAAATGAATGTTTTGCTTTTAATCAGGGCAAAACTGTGGAGTCTTTTCTTAAAAGAAGCTAGTAACTTCTGTCAAAAGGTTTGGTGATTTATCCTCATCTAATTCAATCCTTTCTTCAAAGGAATTTAAGTCTGTTACTCAGTTCAGGAGGATTCTAAATCATTGTCTATTTCATACATGCATGAAAGGAAGAGCTGGTGTTCACACTTGTCTTTGTGCCCTCTCTTTCAGCATCATGTTCTTGTTGACCCAATCCTGTCCAGGACAAGGAAATGCATCTGTCAATAACTTTTGGATAATATGAAAGTGAACTGCAGTAGTGAGTATGTGTGTTCTTGAATAGCTAGTAGCTGGAAAAAAAGCAGATATAGAAACTCATGGTTTGCCCTCCCTTTCCCTCTTCAACACTTCCAGTGTTGGACTGCAGGTCAGCATCAGGTTAAAATCTCCTTTGCCAACATTTAGATCTTTAGCTATGAATTGGAAAAAATTTGGTCTCGATTTTTTTTCACTGTCTTAAATGGACAGAGAATGAGCAAAGACCTCATCTCACATGTTGAGCTGAGGTTGTTTTGAATCTCGAGGCAATAGGGATCTATGAATGGAGAGCTGAGGGTGCCATGGCTGGAGCAGTACTGCAGAACCTCCCACTGGTTTCTCTCCTCTATGTGTGCTTTTTATGTGAAGGGTCCTAATTTTTTCCTTCCTTAGCACCTTCTGTGCAGTGCCCAGGTATTTGTCTATGGGTACAAAGGTACAGTACTCATGCAAGTTATTTACAACCATGTGAGAGCACAGATGATGTTGATTTAGGATTAACACTTACAGTTTGACACCTTGTGCAGTTATATGCACTGGACTTTAAAGAAATGGCAGACTTTTGCCAGCATTAATTTTCCCCCAGAGTCGTGATACAGGGCAGAATTCTAAGAATGAAATACAATACAGAATTACTTACAGATATTAGCAGTGCCCTTAGGTATAGGCAGATAAGAACCAGGGCTCCACGGTCTGCCCTGGTAATTCTTCTTGCATTTTCCACAGTCTGGGCCGGTTGTGTTATGCTCACATTCACAAAGTAGTCTTTTGTTTTCTTCTTTACAGCCAGTAGCATGAAGGTTGCACTTACATCTATTTTTAAAAGGCAAAAATAAAAACAAGTGAGATATTATTTAGAGATGAGTTTAAATTCAGATAAAGTCTTAGTAAATCATGTCCTGTTGCAACCACTCTACTCCTGTCTTGTGCCTGCATTATTGTTTTAGCATGCCTTACAGGACACTGCTCAAATAGCATGTTGTAATATCTTCAGCTCACACAGATCTAAAAGCATTAATTTCAGTAAGACTCCAAGATGCTGAATCTTTTCTTGCTTTCACTAACTCAGCTCCACTGAGATCAGCTAAATTATTAATAATTCTCACCACAGACAGGTCTATAATCTTGCAAAAATTCAAGAGTTACTCACTACTCCCAGAAACAAAACAAGTCCTCTGCTTAGGTCCATAGAGAATCTGGCACAAATTAAGATACAAATTAGGCCCTGAGAGTCTGAGAAAACAGACTTCAATTAAATATCCTCTCCAATGTCACATTTCAGTAGAAAGAGAACTTACTAGAATGGTGTTTTGCCATTCTTGTTCAGCATGTATTCTCTTCCTCAGAAAGGAAAAATCTTGCCTGCTTATTTGATATGGCTGTCAGTAGCTAAAGGTCAGAGGAAATATTTTGGTAGGCACATTTAGTTTTACTTAGGAAAGAACACCTGATTGAACCTTGCCACAAAATCATTATATAAACCAGATTTTGCAGCTGGTGTTAGAAACTAGGACACGTATAGAATGGTAAGCTAGCTTCATGCAAGTGAGGTATTGTTACCTTTTTCCATCCCTTTCCAATAGACATCAAAAGTAGCTAAAATCACTTTCTGTTTGAGGCTGGAAGAAAAAGCCTATTATTTAATGACCCTGTCTGTTTGTTTTCCTAGTTGTTGTACATCTAGTGATTTAAAAGGTTCTCATATGGGCATTTGTCACCTGTTCCATACAGTGACCAATAATTAGAGCAAAACAACACATGGAACAGCCAAGTGAAAATTAACAGCTGTCAAATTGACTTCCATTTGGAAGGAATATGACCTGAAGCAACTGGCCACATACATATATATCCCCAGGGTAAAACAAGCTTGCAGTTGTCACAAGTGGCTGTTGGAGAAAATCCACAAGAATCTGTAATACAGTAGATGGTGAAGTGTTCTCCTCAATGCTAGACATAAGGCAGACGAAAAACGGGTTCATTGCCTTTTAAGTCAAAATTACCAAAGTGTATTGAATATGTTAGACAAAAGAAAGTGTGATGAATTTGTATAGAATTTAAAAAATATCGATGCTTGAAGACTACATCAGCTGTAAAGTAAATTTTCAATGACTAGCTACTGCAGAACGAAAGATGCCTGTCTGGGGGTCTGTGGATGTGATATGCCTATTCATACAGAGATTGAAGATTCTGGTAAGTGGCACTGCTATTAAGAAAAGTAATGGTTGGTTTTACTGTCCACAGAAATGTGAAAATAGAACACTCCCAAGCAGAAGAGATACACCATGACCAAATCAAAAAATAGAGAGAGACAGAGGAGGAAAGAGCAGGAGAGGCTGTGGAGTCACTAGAATAAATGAGAGGAACTAATTGGATTTCTTTCAGGGGAGATTCCTGTTTTACTAGAGGGACTCATCAGTGTCAAGTGCAGCAAAATGATCTAGGCAGGAAGAAAAAGCCTGGTGATTCTGAGGAAAAGCTGAAGTTCTAGGGCTCTGAGAGCATGCTGCAGACTGGTAGGAGAACTGAAGTGGGGAAAATAAATGTAGGTACACCTGCTAATTGGTGTAAATGTGCACAGCTCTTTCAATAAGCACATGGAAGTAAACAATGGTTGTCTCAGAAAACCTTGTGCAAAGTCTGTTTGCACTTCTCACATGCTATGCTTGTCATATAGTCCTGAAGAGGTAGACTGAACCTTCCTGAATTTTGCTTGCAAGTTTAAAATTCTTGGGTGAACTCTGGCCTTCTCCATCTCCCTCCGCTTCTGTCCAGTCCCATCCTAAGCCTCTTCATATGTATACAAAACATGTATATATTTGGCTGGATGGGTGTACATAGGCATGCACAAACAATTCCCATAAATTCTCATGCATATTGATTCCCTTCTGTCTCCCACATTCCCTAACTCCACTGTGATGCACCTTTTCATTGGTTGCCTCCACCTTTATTTATTTCCCAGGCAAGAGAGTGTGGACAGCACAGGATGGCTCTGCTGTCTGTTCTGGTGCTTAGTTTTTTACTTGCTTAGGACAAGACTCCTGGAAGTGCTTCTTGGCCCAGAGCTGTCGGATCGTGCTGTGGTACCTATTCTGTGGTCCACGTGCCAGGGCCCATGCACTACAGCAATAGGCAGGGTTTCTGCAGAAGGCATCTTCTGCAATTTTAGCCACCAAACTCTAACAGACAAATTAAAACTACAGGTTTTAGAGGTCTGTGTTTGTACCAAATACAGGCAGGTTTTCACAAAACCAGCAAAACTCATTTCCACATAGAAGTAGATGGGGAACTTAAGTCAAATTAAAAAAAACCCCTAACTATTAACTGAGGTTTAAAACACCAGCCCTCATACAATCATTCAGAACAAACACAACTCCAAATTCCTACTCCGTTAAAAAAAAAAAAGAGAGATGTAGCCATGTAGTAGTATGATTTCAAGTGAATAACAGAATGAGAGCAAAGAACAAATTTGATCACTCTGAAAAATAAAGGACTGGTCTAAAACCTGAATGGGCTGAGAATAGATGGAATAGGGTAGAAAACAGTCAAATCCTGACATTACAATTAAGCAAAAAAAGGAGCCAACAATGCTGAATAAGTATACAATCCCTTGGTATAATACAAACTTAGCTATGCACAATTTCTGAGGAGAAGTAAGGAATGAATGTGGTCACTGTGGTTTTCTACAAGACTAGCTAAAGATCAAGGATCAAGGTAAAAGGAAAACATTTATGTTAACAATGACAAATGCGGAGTTGATGAGAGCTTGTTAAAGTGGGCTCAAAGAGAAATGTTTTTTAAAAAAACCCAAAACCAAATCTCAAAAGGTCACACAACATGTGGCAAAAAAATTTATGTTTGCCTTCTTAGTGTATAAGCAACATAAAAGCTGGGTTTAGTTTGCAGTCATTAGTGTTATACAAGTATGAAAAAATCTGAAGAGATTAAACTGGAGTTCTTATTGGTGTTAATAACTATACACAGGGAGCAAAAAGTAGAAGCAGAAAAAAGACATTCAGAGGATTGAACCACAGAGGTTGTGCTACTCCTCTCACTTGCACCAATTTTTTGCTGAGGTCACTTCACAGATCTCAGACTAATCATGATTTCCACAGTAAATCAAGAATCTAGCTGAATACTTCAGTGAGTGTAAAATGCAGGGAGTGCTAAAACTGAAAAAGGACAAAAAGCATCTGTGGAAAGCTAACCGAACATAGGTTGGAGGATACTGTGTGTGGGGAAGAACAAGCCAATACCAAATTTTGTGCTATATGTGGAGAGACATTTTTATTGAAACAGAGAACTAATAATTTGTATATGTCTGCTTTTTTAGGAAGGCTGCACTAGGAATCGTGCAATCTGTCCCAGGGTTGTCATCAGAATGTTATGGATGGACAACATCAGAAACCTCTGCAAAGAAGAGAAATGCCTGTTGTGCTTGGGGGATGGACTTCTCTGGATGAATGAAAGAGGTAAACGTGCATAGTGGGACTAAGGGATGACTAGAGCACAATAAAAAGCTGCTTCTATTTGCGGGCTAAGCAGTAAGGAAAATGGAAACATTTAAGGCTACAGAAAGAAGACTATTTAGGTAAAAGTACTGTCTAGATGGACCATGAGAGAACCACTCTTGAGTTGGGATCTATTGGATTTTATGCAGTGTGGAAACCAATCAGCAGAGCTTGGACCTTAGGCATTTCAGGTAACTCTGAATCATCTGAGCACCACTGATCTGGTAGCTCACTTGGATCCTATCAGATCATTGCCACGATGTGAGCATCAGCTTTCTATGGAAGACTGCCCAAGTTCAGAGTCCTTCACCTGTTTTGTCTCTTTTTTAAGGAAGATTACCTTTCCTATCTGCTCCGAAGGTAAGGAAATATTTTGCTACCTTATGTGAATATTCATGATGATAACTTATTAATAAAATCCTAGGTACCATTTCTGATTTCTTTAAATACTAGCTTGGAAAGGCTGTTTTTAGCTGTTACTGTTTTAAATCCAAGGTGGTAACAAAAAGCTTGATTTACATACAAGGCACATTAAACACAAAATTTCATATAGCCCTTGTAGGTGATTCCATTAGAAAAATGTGGTCACTTTGACAGGATGTCAAGAATGGAGAAATTCTGAAAACCTGAGAAACTGCTTCCACAGCCTCTGTACTGGGTTCCAGCTGCAATATTCCATGCCTATACAGTTTCTTGAAATCCAAAGAAAAAACTCAAAGTGCTTTACAAGGTGATTACATACACATGCCCAGAAATACAATTACAGGGTAGCAGTGGGTGGGTAGCAGCTGCTTGGTATGTCAGGTGGATTCGCATGTGTATCAAGAAGGGGTGATTCAGGGAGCTGTAATAAGTAGAGCAGGTTTGAGAATACAGGTTAAGGTATTGGTATAAGGTATCTATGTAAGGGGATGTATGGTGCAGCCTTTGCACTGCACTGGCAAACAGCCTAAGGGCCAAATTCTGTGTAGGGATAATGCAAATGTTAGGGGCAAAGTGCAGTTCTGAGCTAGAGTCCATGCTCACCAAAAAAACCCACGAAAACAACAACAACCAAAAAAACCCAAACCAAAACCCAAACAAAACATTAGACCTCATCAGAGCTTTGCTGAGGTTCGATGCTCTCCACATCTTCACAAAGAATGTCTGAAGCCTGTGACTGTAAATATCAACAAACTCAGCAGCAATTAGTTGCTACGTGGGACACATAGGTCTTGAAACGGCTTTCTATCTGATGGAACAGCTGTCTCCCTGTTACATCTGGTGACAGTTTTTTGAGGTTATTTTTTTGGTTGCTGGCTGTGG